ATACGGGTTGAGGTTGTCCGCTCTTTTGTGTTTACGCTTGGTTGGGGGTTGTACTTGCAGGGTTTAGGATTGAGAGGTAGGGTTGTGGGTCAGGAATAAACTCCTGAAGATTCACTGTTGAGACCAGCTGCAAGAGGCAGGGATGCGGCCCAGCATGCTGACGCTTTTTGGGTCTCGGTCTTTTCGGGCCCAAGAGAAGTTTATCATCTTTCCTTTTTTGAGTTTTTTTTTGCAGTGAGGCTGGCCTTGTTGTTTTGTTGACTACAAGTTTAAGCTTTCACACGAAAGCAGCTTCATATCGTCCCGGCCAGTGTGCAAGCCAGAGGCGCAGACCGTGATACAGAAGCTGAGCTCCCTGGCCGCTCGCGAGCCTTGACAGCGATAGTTTGGGTCGCCGGTATCTGGACCTGCAGGGTGTATATCCAAACTGTCAATGCATATTATGTAGTTGATGCATACATGGACGGGTAGCCCAATTTTGAACTGTTTGTGCATTCTTCTTTCAAATAGTTTGTGCATTCTATAGCAAGACCTTAGCATTACATACATGTGTAGAGTAGATCTAATGCTAGATTCAGGGGACCCAGTTTGACAAATATTCGTAGAGGTGTCTACCAGAGCTGATTAGTAGCTTGGGGCCTAGGGTTGCGCTGCCCTCCGAGAGCAGTGATTACAGTTGCAAGCAATTCTTCGCCAACTTCTGACCTAGTTATTCTAGAGCAGCGTTCACAGAACAAATTCATCTAGACAAAGCATTCTACTTTGCAACATCAAGGCAACCCCTTCACGAACTTGAAATGTACTGGACGTTAGAATACTGGACCGAACATGCTTTCCGACCGCTTACTCATCTGGGGTTGGACATCTTCCTGAGCTCCTAAGAACCGAAGCACACAGTCAGCATCTCCGGGTGCGTCTAGACCTTCAGTTGAAGTGTACCGGTGCTGTGCAGGAAGGCTGCAATGTGCTCTGCACGATCCACCAGCATCATGGCTTCCAATAGGTAGGTGAATATAGAAATGCAAAAACGTAAGTCGCAGCGTCAGGACAAAAGCTTTCATTTCTGTCGCCGTTGCTGCTTGATTGTGAATATTCTGCAGCTCTTGAGGCGTCAGTTTCGCGGCTTGCAGATTCAGGATTTGTTTGCAATGAGGATGGTGTATTGTATCCATCTGTACTTTGCATTTGACTCGTAAGCTTCTTGTTGTGGCTTTCACGTTAAAGATGTTTGAAGTATTCTCAGCTCTTGATACGCTAGCAGTTTCCATTTACCTGGGAACAGCTTGTGAGCGCCAACGCCTTGTAAGAGTTTGCGTCAGGTACATGTAATGTACTTGATCTACTTGAGTCGACTGCACCTTTGCTGGAAGCTGGAGTCTGGCCTGTCACCAGCTCTAAACCTCAAGCCTAAACTTTAAACCCCAGGAGATAGTCATCCTGCCACGTTTCCCCAACCTGGAGAGACATGGTTCAGCTTCAACTTCGCGTGCGACACTTGAAAACCTGCCTCCAACACAGGTGAACACGAACACCCTATGCCCTGAGACCCAAGACTCCCAAGCCGTCTTCCAATCATGTACTTGTATAATCTTACGTTCCCTTTGCATATAGCCCTGTTCATAGCTTGTATTAAGCAAGTTGGCATACCCAGGCCCTCGTCGGAGGTGTTCCATCTTTTCAACAAGGCAGGGGCCTACCAGAGAGGTCTGAGGTTTGAATGACAAACGGCCAGGTTTGAAATCTATGCTTTAGGTTGGGTACTGCCCCCACTCTGTAACATAAGACTTGCATAATATTCATAATATTCTTATATGTAGCCCCTAATATTAGCTTTAGGTACCCAGTATTTGCTCAAGAAACCTCATTGGCTTGCGTTCTTGACAGGGTTTATGACCATTCGTTGACATATGGCGGTTTCCAACACTTAGCGGTTCCTTGTTGGGGCAGCCCATGTGTGGACTATCATATCTTGGGGTCTATGTTATTGGGTAATCCCCATATTGCAGCTGCACCTTCTCTCCTTGCGTTGTTTTTGTATGGAAATTTTTGTTTTTGACGTGGGGCTTGCCCAGCGAACACCTATGTAAGTCTTGAGGAGGGAGCGCTGCAATCCCCATTTCTCCACAGAAGTTTATGGTGGAGGGTTTAGCCTTTAGGGCGTGACAACATGGCATGCAAGTAATGTAGGGAGCATATCATGAGTATTCATGAGCTTCCAAATTTCTTGTTCTAGTTACTAAATTGTGATCGGAGGTGTCCTTGTAGGCTCGGCATTCTGCGAATCGTCAAATTCAGCCGCGGTTTGGGCATCTGCCCATGTTGACAGAAGGTGAAATCGTCATGAAAGCTAGGCCCTAAACCGTACGGTAGTTTCCCAAAACAGGGGCACCCCAATATCGACCCCAAAACACTGTATGTAGTTCTTGTTATGGGGATCCAGGAAAAGGTATTCCTAATAATTGGGGAAGCCCACATCTATTTGGGCCCTAAAGTAACTCGAATTTCCTGGGGGCTGTCCACAAGCATGATCTCTTGCTGGGTTCATGTGAGCTACAGTCTAAACTCCTTAAAGGGGGTTATATAATTCCTTAGAGGGGCTTATATGGGGGATTACATAGGGGACGATTATAGGGGGTATTAAGGGGATGCTAGGAGTTTAGACTATAGCTCATGTGGTATCCTGGGCTGCGTTCTGAAACTTGGGAAGGTTGAAAGTGTATTCTGCTAACCGTGCTCCTTGGCGAATCTCCCGATAGGCCTGTATTGGGGTGCACCTCGTTCATTTTGTGGTTTTGCTGTGTTTTGCAAACAAGCCCGAGCGCAGCACCCCAGACCTAAAATGTGAGACCCGCTCAATACCTGAAGAACTGGAGTCTTAACCCCAAGCCCTGCCACCAGGTGATGTTGCTCCACTCAGGCACGCCCTTCTCCGATACTGGGGTAGAGACTGGTACATGGACACTCAAGGGTCATGGTTTTATGTCTCTGCGCCCAGCAGCCTCAGTAGAGATGTCTATGGGTCGTTTCGATTGTAGCTGTAGAGGCTGGTTGCTCATCTTAATCATCAATCAGTCTCAGGTAGTAGTGCATACAACGAGCCATGACCCCAAACCCTGAATTCTGGTGAACTGCTTCGTCTAGGATTCTTACATTTCCACATTTGGATTTGCGTATGAGCTGTCAGATTCCCGCGTGGTGTTTCCCTACGCATTGAGGGCTTTGCAGGTGCGTGTTTGACTGGGAATGGATGTAGGAGCATCGAGTGATGGAGGTAGAATGTTGTGGCTTGGAAGGTCTTATCAGGCATCCCTATGCATCCTTGAGTATCACAGGGATCACGCAGGGCTTTGCAAAGGACGAGTTGCTGAGCAGGGTTCTACTGCAGCTATCCCCGCAACAGCCCTGGATTGTGCGGCTTCTCTAGTACCATGTGGCCCCCAATCTTCCAGGCCATGTTCACAACTGACCACGGAAAGCATGGCAATGACGGGAATGCCGAATAGGCTGACCCTGAACCCTAAACGCTGCACCCTCTTCTGAACTTTTCTGCAGGCCGGATCTTTTTTTTCGGCATGGTGTCCAACCTCTCAGCGGAGCTCTCAAGTTCTCCTGGCTGCAGTGAGCAAGGGGAGTTTATCAAAACAACCCCAAGTTTTGGGTTTGAGATCCCCCTTCCTCTCCTTAGATTCCTAGATTCCCCTTGGGGCCGCTCATTTTGAGAACCACCCTTTCATGTCCAGGGATTCTGGGATTGTGGGGTCAAGGATTGAGGGTTTCTACGAGTTTGGTGCAGGAATTCTACATGGTACTTTAAGGCGAGTAGAAATACTCAGTTGCGCCCCACAAGGCAAATCAAGCTTTGTGTGTTCTGTAAGAAAGCGGAGTTCTCCCCAGTTCTGAGACAATAGCACCTGAGCAGTTGGGCATCAGGGCAGTATTTTCGTGCCCTTGCATGTTATGCGAGATGCTCTGCTTTGAGCATTTTCCGGGCTTGCGGCCCGGTTCTCTTTTCAAGTTACATGGCTTCTTGGCATGGAGAACCAGACTTTTTGGCGGTTCCAGAGACAGACAAAGTCGAAAACTGGCTGGAAGATATGGTGATTTCAGATATTTGGAGTCTACCTCTCTGGAGCGGATGGATTTCGGAAACACTGGTGTTGGCCCTCTTGTGCACCCAACCCCTAAAAGCCCCATACCCACTGGATAAACTGCTGCCAGCCCCATGAGCCCGAATCTAATGCCACGTTATCACAATAGCCGAGGTGCGTATACTAGCAGCCAACGGGAACAAGGAAATGCAACGCAAGAGACGGAACACGTACTTACCACTGATAGAGTACAATGCACGCAGAACGTTCAACAATCGTCCTAACAACCACCTTCCTGTGTCACCCACCCTCTCGCCTAACCAATCGGTTATAGTACCGTAAAGCAATTGTTACGGGGTGGGGAGTTCTACGAGTAGGGGGACCAGCCTCAGGAGTCGGCCATGGTTGCCCGGCGGAGTACAACCTGGCTGACCATGTGCCCATGCCTGCTTACGCGCTTTCAGGGCATTGGGTTTCGGGTTCTGCGTTCGACTCTATCCCAGATTGAGTTGAGAACGGTTTTTTGACTCGAACCTTGGAGTCCCTTGATCCTTTGTGCAATTGCTTCAGAATTTTCGCGCGTTGCATATGATAGCGTCCAACGTTCAGCCGTCCTGCTTCAGGAGCGTTGGGGTAGTAGTCAGCTGCAGTTGCCGCGATTCGGAGCCTCTGCAGGTGTAGCTACCTCCTTCTCATAGAATGGAGTGTCTTGTAAACGCGCGGCGGTCTCCCGCGCGTTTACACGCACCCTTTATTTGGACACCACCAGCCCCTTTCGTCTTTTCATGGGATCATAGTTCACCTGCACACGAGGCCTCACTTTGGGCTTGTACGCACTATCATACCTCATTCAATGACCTTGTTTGGTTTATTCTTGCTTGATCCAAGCTGCTGGTTCCTGACCGTCAACAGGTCATGTTCCTCCTGCAGAAGGAGTCGCCAGAGTCACTGGATTCTATGCAGACTCAGTTTGCGAAACTGCTGAAGGCTGCAACACATGGGTTTCTTCATATCTGTATGTGACGTGGCCTCTCATTGGGCCTTACCCTCGAGGCAACAAGGGTTTTGAGTGCAGTCAAACTATGGTTGGAGAGTTAGCATTGGGGATTGCTTCGGCCTGGACCTCAACGACATTGACAAGTGTCAATAAGGGTGAATATAGATTAGACCCGTGTGCAGGTGGGCGGTGACTAAGATCCTCTCACAAACACTCTCAGAAGATCAGTGGACCCACAACGATGGGAAGGTAATCTCACTAGCGCCAGCGGAATCCAACAGGGACCTCGAGAGTCACCTACTGCCAAATCCTGCGTGAACGCCCAGAAAACATGCCTCAAATTTTAAGGTCACGAGGTCCACGGGTTAGGGGTTTGCAGTTCTGGGGTAAGGTTTGCGGGTGTTTGCATTGGCTGGTTTGGGGAATGGATTGCACTCAGATGCTCCATACCAGTGTGCATCATGGGTTTTCTTCAGGATGGTAGAAGTTTATGCCCAGGCTTTGCAGACGTGGTACAGACGTCTGATGGCGAATATCACAGGCTTCCATAGCGGCCAAAATATGTGTACTCTCCGAGAACGACTCTAATTCATGTGAGTGTCGTGGTCATTCCGCACACCTAGTTGCGGAAGAATCTCCAGATAATCCTAAATGCCCTATTCCTGTTCCGGGCTACAAGAGCCGAGACCATTCTGTGTAGATCCGAACGCATTCATATCCATAACTCATGGTTTTGTCCATTTCCAACCAGTCTGATTGCAGGTTTGAAGCTTGCGGGCCAAACTTTACGTCCCTGTTGTCATCCCAATTTGTGTAGGACGTAGGAACTTGATACTCAAGGATGGTTCTTGCCTATTCCCTACGTTTCCCTAATTAGGGTCCCGCCCAAGAAACTACGGACGCACAACAAGAACCCTCAGCCCTATACTCCGAAGAAGATTGCCTAGAGACCTTTCATAAACCCCTACATATCCCGTCGTGACCTTTGAGCCTGAAACACCGATGGACTGCAGGGGCCAGATGACGATGAAGACCTGACGAGAGCGGCTTGTCCCTCACAATTCCAAATCTGTCTGGTTCAGGGCACCCTCAAAGTCTGCGTTTTTTTTGGGGGCAGGGTTTCGAGCTTGTCGTGGGCGCGCATTTTGCATGTCATCGAAAGCATTCTACTGGCTAAGGATACCTCAGGGATCTCCCTAAACCCTAAACCCTACAGACCTTAAAGCTCGAAAAGGGGTGCAGCGATGTAAAAGAAGACCTTAAACTGCCAACCTTGAGAAGAAACGTCGGCAAAAGCAGCCACGAGGCGTAAAATGGATCCAAGTTACAAAGTGGCAAGCCCAGGAACTCTTCCCCATGTCCCTCATATATACTTCATTAAGTAGGATTATAGGCTGTACTACCCAATGGCTACATGCCTAGAAGCCTAAGATCTAAGGCCATCAGAAATTGAATTTTACATGATCAGGCAGCTCTGCCCTGAAACTTGCATGCTCTCATGGGGCTTGCATAGGACCATCGGTCCACTGAGCAAGTCTTTAAAGCGTCATTTTCCTTACGTACCAGAATCCACGCTGGGTGAATTGATAGCTTAGCACGTGAACCTATGGCAGGCAAGGTCCGGGGTCTCTGTGCTAAAGTCTAGGAAGTTCGTTGCCTTGGACAAGGAGAAGAGCAGGATCATCGCGCAGGGCAAAACTGCTGGCTTCTGCTTGCAGCTGTGGCTGCTGACGAAGCGACTTGAGTGCCGGGTAACCGGGGGCTATGTCAAGGATCCCCAATAGCAGAAAGATTTCAACTCGAGTGGAACCAAGCATTTTACAGGAAGGAAATCATCATTCCAAGCAAAAGGCCCATTGCTCACTGACATTCATGATTGTCCCGTGTTCGGGATCCTGGACAAGAAGGAAGCCTGTGTACCCCAAGGCTCCGCGAAGGAAGCAAGAATTTTCACGTGACATGATTCGAGTTGAAGAGTTGAAATCAGTAGCTGTGCGGGTTACGGGGCTGGACAGCTTCAGGGTGATTTCGAGCGGAAGGGAATAGGCTTATCTCACCAGAGCAAGAAAGGCAGCCTGTCGCCGCCGTGCCCATACATACTACCAGTAAAAGTGTTTGCCGCTTGAGAGGGCAGAGGCACAGCCCTCACATCATGGAAGTGTGCAGCGGCAACACTGAGCACCCTCGCAGCTCATCACAGCTTTGATCTGCATATGGGGGCCCAACCATGACTTGAATTCCGGAGACTCGAATGGGCAGGAGCATGGACGATTAACTGAAAAATGTGTTTACGCAGGGGCGTGCGCCCCTGCTCAACATTTCCAAAAGCACTCAGAACGCAGAGGTAGTGGATAATCTTACCGGTTGATGCAGCCCTTGTATGATTCCTATGGTTCTCCGTTACCGAACCCTATGCGGATCGCCTGACGCAAGGCGAGAGGCACAAGGCGTCTGGCGCAATGTGCCGGGGCTCATCGCGTGACTCGCCCCACAACAAGGTTGTTTGGAGCAATTTCCAGTAACAACAGGATTCGCAGGGCATGGTTGAACGTGAGAGGGTGGAGTACAGGGGGCACAGAAGCTGATTCAGAACCTATCGCTGCACCCGAATAGTGAAGATTCCCCTGATTTAGCACTTCGGGGAGATATGCGGGAGGGAAAGCGGAGCGGGGGGCGGCATGGCTAAGTGAGGAAAGCTTTGTTCTCCAACTACCGCTCACAAAATGCGAATAGGACGTATGCTGGTCGTGTACTGTCGGGTTCCAACCGGGCAGAGTTTAGCAATTTGCATTCCCACTCTGGTTTCCAAACCTTAGTTGCTGTTTCTTGAAGAATCATGTTTTTGCCCTGCTGAGGCAGTACTTAGGGTGAAGTGGGTTCTGCGCGACAGTATGCCGTGAGCACCTTGAACATCAATCATGCTTTCTTCAGTGCTTCTTACGAAGGATGCAGAGGCTGCCCTGCCACATAGCAAAGGCCAAGATGCTGTTGTTTTGCCGTCAGTGTTTGCTGCTTTCTCGTGCAAAGCTGACCGGTCGTTCAGGTTCTTCTTCTTTTCCGTCCCACCATGAAAGAATCATCCATATCAGGCTGAGTGAGGAATTTGCTGAGATGTCATCAGGATCAGTAAGCATTAATGGGTAACCCAACCACCAAATATGGACTGCATGACAACTATTATCGTTACAAGCTCCTGATTAAGCGGGCTACAGAGTAGTCCTTCTTACGAGTTTTTTGTGGGTGAAGGTGGCAGGCAGGCTGTATGAGCAGCATTCCGCATCAGATACTGCACTTACCAGGATGGGGTAACATTGTAATCTGGTGTTTGATAGCTGTTGATAGAAAGAATCTTGCCAGGATTTTGCTACTCACATGCAGGGATCAAGTCTCTGGACATTCCGAGGCCAGGCTGCCGAGCCTGCTGTTGGGCCTGAATAGTTATGCGTTATGCGCAGTGTTATGGTCCTAGACTACTTGTATAATTACGGTATAGGGTACCTCAAATCAACTTCAAAACTAGGTACACAGATATAGGTGGGGTTTTGATCTCAACGCTAGTCACTAGGGCCGCCTCGTGCGCCATCTGTCAGTTGATGGTGGCAAGGCCACGCTGCGAAAGCGACCTCGTAAACGTTTAACCCTAAGCCTTAAACCTTACAACCCTAAACCCTGCAAAACGTCGGAGCCGAGGTCTGTCGTGCTGCCGGCTGTGCTCAATTTGCCACCCTGCCCAACATGTGATCTCAGGACAAGTTTTGGGGGATGCAAGAATGATCATAACTACTGTGGCCAGACATGGACTGCTGCGGTGTTTCTACTGATCCTGGGTGGGAGATGTGGGAAGGGTAAACCAGGTAGTACAACAGTTGACTTCAAGTTGGTCTGTCGTTTCATATAGGCAGGATTAGAGACTGCACAGGTGTCCGAGCATATAGTGGCATATTTCCTTGCCACAGACCGCCCCAGGTTTTTCGCCCTGATCTTCTACCAGGTCGGGGACGTGAACGCTGCTGATTACACCTCCAGCTCGCACTTTGGGGGCCTCTTCCAGGTGGAGCCTCCCAGATCTCTTCAGTTACTTTGGTTAGCAGGGAATGAAGGACTGGAACAGAGCATGCAAAGTCAGGATCCATTCCTTCATTCCTGGCTAACCAAAGGCCAGATTGAGGGTTGACAGCCTGTGGCTTAGATTCCTGCTGCCTTAAGGATTTCTCACGGAATCATTGCTTTGGGGAGGGTCATGCGCTTTGGGGGCGGTATGAACGGGGAGTTGCAGAGGGTGCCGGATTTAGTTTTAGGGAAGGGAGTTTCAGGATTTTTTGTAGATTCTCTGTTGTGCGGGTTCAGCGGATAGGCTTGCGTGTTGCAATTCTGAGTTGGCGGGTTCAGCGGATAGGCTTGCGTGTTACAGTTCTGAGTTGATTCAATTCTGAGAATAACTTGGGGCGTAAGCACTCTTTGGGAAGACCAGCTCCAGTCTAGCCTTTTTAAGACGCAACCTGCCTTGGAGATGGCATGGCCAATTGAAAAGGGTCTGTTAGGATGTTGCTTTGAAAACGGAGCCCAGGGCCAGAGGCACCTTCCGCAACCCCAAGCCTTGCATCAGTGTATTCGCACCTCAAAGTGAGCAACAGAATGGCAGTAGCTTGGTGGTAGTTGTGAGCCCCTCTGCTAAAGCCGCGAGCGCTTCTCTTTCGCTTTACCAAGCCCTACAAGCTGAGCTCCAATCCCTACATTTCGACCCACCAAGACCGTGCCAGTTAAGGTGACGTCATGGGTACGGATGACAGTGAATCTAGTTCTTTTAGTAGTGTAACTTGAACGAAATTCCCCAATAAGCCCTGAAGCCTAAACCCTAAACCTAAGCTGTTTGTGTCCAGGTGGCCATTGGAGGGATCTTCGGCCTGGCGCAGCCGCTGCTTCTTCGGTTCCCGCTGGACTCGGGGCCTTCTTGGGTAGTGATTTAGGGAGATCTCTTTGGGTTTAGGCTTTACGGTCTATTTAGAGATTTGGGGTTTAGGGTTTAAGATTTAGGGTTCAGGTTTGAAGGCCCGCATGTTGGACCATCCCCGGCCCCCTCGCTCTCTCCAATGCTCATGGGGTTCATCTGCATCATCACCTCGACCACGCAACTCGAGGAAATCTTATAGTAGGTAAACCTATAAACAGCTCCAGAAACCCCATGTGCGCCCCAGAATACACCAAACCCCAGCCACGCCCTAGAGGGTGGTATGTTACCTAGGATAGAGATCCGAAACTTGTAACGACCTGCACGGGTTACAAAAATAGCAACCTGCAAAATGCACTATCCCTGTCATTATTTGGCATATTGGAGGCCAGCCGAACAGTCAGGGGGATACCATGGGAGGGGGGCTCAGAAGCAGAAGATGCATACAGGAGTTGTGAGCTTGGGATCCTGTGCCAATCTCATTGGGTTCCTCTTGGAGGGTACTTTCAGGGGCTCCGTATGGGTAACCAAGCCTGGTCTGCAAGCTTTAGACAACACGGTTTTAGGTCCTTGCAAGCACGGCCGTCAGTTTCAGGGGCACCCATGCAGGGGCCCAGGCCTGGGAGAGTTTTTTGGGAGCCTTCAGTTGTGAACACTCCTTTCTGGAGCCCGTATGAAGGAACCCATGAACCTTGAGTTCAGTTTACAACTCCTGACATGCTGAGTTGAACGACGAATAGTAGGCTCCGCGGGCTTGACCCTAACTGGGCAAAGGGAAGTGACAAGTCCCCTCAAGACGCCGATGGAAGACGTGCAGCCGTGCGTCTGTGGGACAGGATCGAGGAATTTTCCTGCGCGAGTACGCCACGCAGACGTATGGTCCGGACCTCATGGGGATGCGGTCAGCGGTGTCTGCTTGAGCTGTGGTCTGGAATTTAACAGCAAAGTTGGACGCACTGCTGCCGCCGCCGGTATGGAGGTTGATTTGTGTTGATGTAAAGGGGATGATCAGAATTTTCCTGTCGCACGAAAAACGGAACGCATTCAAGAATGTCTTCTAACAGCGGCCGCCAAACGCGTTAAAGGAGGTCTCTTCGCTAAAATGAGCGCAGCATTAGCCCACCAGACATGTCTAGACGGCACCTAGCCCCTGATCATTGCCTGGACCTTGTCAGTGCTGCAGAACGAAGGTGCTGTGCCCTATTTCCTCTCCAAGACCCTTGTGGAGCTCCCGCAATCGCTCCGAGTCAGCATTGGTATGGGTTTAGGATTCCCTCCAAGTAGACAATCATTGGGCATGTGCAGGGGACTCTACATGCAGGCTTAGGAAACTCCTACAAAAAGTTGGCAGTCCAGCTTAACATCCAAAGAGCTTTGTGGCTCAGGATAATGCCCTGAAGGGTTTACTGTGTTGATGCAAGGCAAGAGTGCAACTCAATGTCAGCTACTTGCCGGATTCCTTTTAGCACTGGCACAAAAGATCTAGCAGAATCATACCTGGCAGGGTTGTTAGGGGCGTGTTGCTTGTCCAAGGCTCCTCAATGCGACCATCTGCTGGGCGAGTACATACTGGCTCTCTGGGCGATCTTGATTCATTTGCTGTTTCTGCTGGTTGCCCATCTTTTAGTTTTCCGAGCATCCGCAGACACAATACTAGTGTGTGTATGTTCTGCAGACATGTCATGTAGGTTTGGTACCCAGCTAGGCTGCCTAGCTTACCGCCTACGAGGATTTCTATTGGACCACTCGTTTGGCACAGGCCCATTTTTCGCCATGATCTTTGATCA